TGTCATCTGTTCTGAGAGCGTTTACACAAGGCGACTTTCAAGATCAAGCGGTTGCATCGATGCAGTCGTTTATGTTGAATCATTAAAAATGACGATTGTATCGTTGCCTAAGAGTCTATACTACCTCAACTCGAATTCTAATTCTTCCCGTACTAATACGGTTCATTTTGCTTAGTTGTTTATTTCAAAATTTATTTTTTACAAACAAAATTAAAGCCATTTGAAAAATGTGTAGCGTATAAGTATACGTGTTCTATTTAGTTCAGTTGATATAAAAAACTCATTGGTATAGTAATTTTACTATACTTTTTATCTATACTCAATTTTACTATATATGTTTTCTAAAGTGATTGATTCAACACTCTCATTATTACACGGAATCAACCAAAGCCATTTGAGGTTGTAGACTCGCGACTTGCGACTGCATCGTCACTGCATGACGATTGAATCGCCGCAAACGTGCTGCTAAAAGTCGCCCTGTGTAACCGCTCTGAGATTAAAGAACTTTGGTTTTTATATAAGCCATTAGCAAAAAAAAACATTCTCAAATCGCAGCTATAATCTACTATTCAAATTAAATTAATAGATGCCTAATAAAAACAGTAAAGATGAGGAAACTTTTAAAAATCTGTGGTAAGTTTAAAACGCAGCCGGAAAAAAAAATCTCTATCTCACAATGTGGCTACGTTTTAGGGAGTCACCACACTTACCGACACGGATAACGCGCCGCCGACGCAATACGAACCGGGTTTACAGCCGGCCCGAATCGTGACGACGTTCCGAGTCGAAGCGAAACGCGTAACATCTTTTCCGCTCTTATCGCATAGACATAAAGGTTTTCTAACCGCCTCAAGGCGATTTCGTTTGAATAAATTGTGGTGAATCCCTTAGAAAACAACTGACAGTGGTTCGTGGTCCTAAGAAATTCCTTTTAGTTTACAGGCACCTGAGCATAATTTTCATTTCTTTATTGAAATCTAGCATACCTAACTAACAGTTATGTCAAACGCTACTCATATTTTTAACAATAAATTTAGCTAATGTATAAATATGTTCTTTTATAATGATTATTCGAAACTTTTTGTTATAATGACTTATATGCACATAATATATTGGCAACTTATTATCTATTGTACATAGTGTAGTAGTCACAGCGTAATTATTGTAATGATTTTATTAAAATGACATTTTCATTAACGGTACTATTATTATAATACTAGTGTTATCATTAACATTAAGAGAAAGATTTGTATGTGTCAATGCAAAGTCTACCTTACAAATAAGTTCATTTTATTACAAAAGCTTTTTGGAAGATATTCCACTTTTGTACTTAAACAGCGATTGTTTAGTCAAAACCTTAAAATATAAATAACATATATGATATATGTGTATATATACTGGATAATAAAACCGATTTTTGGAATCAATACGGATTACGTATACATTACAACTATGAATTTTACTACAAAAGCCCAATTACGTTTTTAACCTTTCGCGGTGCATTACAATAAAATTACAAAAGCGATAAACGCGATTTAATTTATTTAATAGGTTTTTGCACATCTATTTATCCATCCCGACCACATATAATCTTGAGATGATAGGTAGGTTGACAGTGTACAAATACACATTGCTTACTCACTAAAATCTTTTTGGAATATACAGCTTTGGTCGGCCCTCTAAAAAATTAACCATTCCTCTTGTGTAAAATCCACAGACCAAAAAAATATAAATTTACAAAAAATTACAAACTTATTAAAGACTCCTAAAGGAGGTGAAATAGGGTATGAAAGTAAATATGGAGAACCAATAATTTGTCAAGTAGTAGAATAGGCCACTCGAAGTACCTGTTTTACGCAGACGAACTCGCGGGCACCAGCTAACACAATTTTTAATTTAACTAAACCTAAAGTTTATATCTCCCATATTGTATAATTCATCACTAATGCTTAGCGGCCAATATCATCAGGTGATCTTCGACTGTTTTTCAAATCCCCTCTGGATCTAGCTCTAGTCTTAGGCATAGTACTATCTATTTTTATGGCTATTTGCATCAATGGTTATTAATACGCCCTACCACCTTTTTTATAGCCTTTATCCCCGGTTGTAATTTTATTACGAAAGCTATTCGAAAGATATACCTCTAGTTATTTCCAAAAAGATTTCTGAATTCGAGTACTTATGTTAAATATGTGTATTTAAACATAGAAGTAAATACATGTATATAATGGCTAATATAGCCGATTTTGGAATCAATACGAATAAGATGTACCTTACAACAGCTATGTTAATTTTAATACAAAAATGTTTTTGGAAGATATTCCACGTATTTGGAAATACCAGTACCCAAGTTTAGTGAGTACCGCTCAGCAAAACAAAATGCAAGTTTTAACAGATTTTGGAATGAAAAGGAATTAGGTACTCATTTCCTTTATGTTACAGTCACATAAATAAGTACCGTCAAACAGAGTGAATAAAAATAAAATCACCTTATAAAATGATGGTAATTTCGTCTTATATTTGAAGTTCTTTAAGTACTCACAGGTACATTTCAAATTGGAATGATAGCATTTTTTTGCAACTTGAAATTAACAAAATGGAAAAGTTTTTCATAAGGAATTATATTTATAATAATGGACTACTCAATTATACAAATTATGGAAATCAGTCTTGTAACTTAGGGTATGGAATTATGCTTTAAGTCTATGAGGTAAATGTAAAATATTTAAAAAAAAAATAAAAACAAACAATGCGTGTGGGTCAAGATAAATTTTCCATGTCTTTGAATTGAATGGCGCTTTACACTTTATATTTTTAAATATAAAAACTAATCTTTGTCCAAGCATTTTTGTAAAGGGTTCTTCTACAAGAGCTTTGTTTTGAAAATCAATAAATTTAGATGACATTGATTCAAATTTTTAATTGTATTTAAAAAAGTAAGGTTTTGCAATTATGAATGAAAAATGATATCTGATAAATGTCCACCACGACCACAGTTACAGATGTCGATTCTTTCATCAAAGTTTTTAATCACTTTTTGACAAATGTTGAGTTTTAAGGCTACAATCGATTCTATTGGCTCCGTATAGACTCTGTCTTTAACATAACCCCATAAAAAATAATCCAGCGGTGTTAAATCACATGATCGAGATGGCCACTTAACGACTGAATTTCGTGAAATTATGCGATCGGGAAATTTGCAAACGGTGCCACAAGTCACAGCCACCGAAACAATGAATTTATTGCAAACCAAATTTCCCGATCGCATAATTCCTGTATTAGTTAATTACAATTTCTATATTTCTGATTTAATCATTGATGAAAGAATCGACATCTGTAACTGTAGTGATGTTGTGTTCGTGTTGCAAAACCATATTTTTTTTAATACAATAAAAATTAGAATAATTATCATCTAAATTTATCATTTTATTTTGATTTACAAAACAAAGTTCTTGTTGAAAAACTCTGTATATCCACCACCATAAAGGGTTTTTTAAGAGAGACTTCAAAATTGTAAGGAGGATAGCGACCAGATTACACTACTGTAAAGTAATTTTATATTCTAACAACTTTGCTCAAATTATCGCAAAATCGCGGTATTTCTACGTAAGGTAGTACTTTAACTAAGGTAAGGCAGAAGTACCGCAGTTTTGCAGTGTCCGTTCGACAAATTTAAAGTATTAATATTTATAGTAACACATTCCTTTTTTTCCACATGAATTAAAAAAAATAACTTCGACAAGTATTGGTACTTTCCGTCAATTGGTACAGAACAAACAGATTTTTTGCCATTTATAATACAAAGATTTTCATTTTAGAAAGTTACTTTTAATTTTTTTTTATTCTACATCGAGCTACGCCCGCGCCTTTGACGTTGAGAATCGTCACATGCCTTATTATCTAAAATGCTCCATTGAATGGCTAACATAGGAGTTGTCTAAAATTTCCGTAGCGTAACATTACGCTGCGCTACCTTAAAACAAGCAATTCGACATACATTTTATCTTACAATGTAATATAGAACATATCCTTTACAAAATAAAGTACAAATAACTTTGAATGCAAAATAACAAAAGCGTAACTTTTTCATTGTTTTGATTAAGAAACGAAGTTCTACATTGTAATGGTACCTCTAGTTAGCGCTACGCAGTCCGAAATATGCCTTATTTGAGAAGCTAAGCTGCACATTGTCCATGACAGCTCAAGCTGCCGACGACTTGTGCGTCGAGCGGTGCTGCACAGTATATCCTGCCGTCAGCAGCTTGTGCTATTTATTAGCAGATATGTTCTATATACATTGCATTTTGCATCTTCTTTTTACCGTCTTCAAAAAAGGAGGAGGTTCTCAATTCGACTGTTTTTTTATTTGTATGTGTGTTACACGATATCTCCGGCTGTTGGAAAGAAGATACCTCAGAAGTGGTCCTCTAAGGGTGGCAAACTAGGGGATGAATGACATTTGAGGTCGTTTTTTTAATACTCCATACTAATTTTTTATTCAAAGAAATATGACCTATCTTGTAGAAGATAAAGTTTATGTTGCATTGCTCGTTTTAATGCGTCGCCATATCGCATCGCCTACTGTGGCAATTTGAGTCAACACATACAAACATTTTAAGCCAAACATTACCGATGATACATTGAATAACAATTTTTTATTGCGAGATTGTTGTATAACACAGCGAATATATTGGCTAACGTATTTGACATTGGATAACAGTGGCAAGACCGGTCCTGTGAATAGGAATTAAAAAAGAAAATTGTTAAGGAAACAATATGTCTATTACTTTTATTGGATACCTAGACAAGAACAGATTTTCTGCTTCTGTCTGGGGCTGTAACACTAGGAATCCATAACGATTTCTTTATCATCGATCAATATTACAAAGTCCATGTTCGTCTACCTTCCTTCGTGAGGAGAGGACGTCACATAAAATAATTAAATATTTTGTATACTCTTAGACTATTTTAATATATTATGTTTACTTATACATTACAGTAAACTTGTAAATTGTACTGAGATTCTAATTTTCGAATTCAGAACTGATTAATACAATATCAATTAGTTTTCATAATGTAAAATGTAAACTGAACCATCAGAAAGCATGTCTGATTTCTAAATCTTTGAACACATCAGCTGGTACTTTGCTGTTATCCTATCATTAACTATTTACGAAAAATTAAGGAAATCAATTTGGAAAATTCCCTCATGGAATAAGCAAATACAAATATTGGAGTGGACATTTTTCACGCAATTGTGTACAAATTTCGGTGCCATTTTGTTCCAGAATCCAGGTATATTATGTATTTGTTCAGGTTGTTAACACTTAAGATTTCCTTACCAACAAGCAACACGAACTGAGACCGCACGACACTTTAGACAATTCGGAGAAGCAGATAGAACGTCTAGCGAAGTCGATCTTTTCGCAAAATACCTGAAATTTATATACAAATTCAATTTATAAAAATTAACAAAATTCTATTAGTTTTTATTAACAGGTTTAAAAACCTTAATTATATGTTTTCTTTGGATAAAAGTACCCTTCAAAACCTAAATTAATGTACCACACACAAATCTGTTCGACCTTGCTTAAGTAACAAAGATCTAAACATGAGTTGATGTATTTACCGATGCAACAAAAGCAACTATACAATAGGACAAAACCTTCAGCCCACAATTCAGTAAAACTAATAATGAGTGACCTTCTGCTGAAATCTGTTGTCGCATCTATACTTTGTGTCCCTTGAATGATTAATAATAATAACGCACACACTCAACATAGCTCCGCTCTAGGGAAACCTTGTGTCGCGGGTGCCGTGGACACACACATAGAAAACCACAAATTACACCCAAACTCACGAGACAAATAAATGTAGCCCATACAAATATTTCTCCCGGCCCGGGAATTGAACATGGGACCTCTGCGTAGCAGTCATGTTATCATCGGCATGTTAACCGTTCAGCCACCGAGGCAGATTAACTTAAAATAAGATAATTAATATAATAACATATGTCATACTAATAAACGTCGAACAGAATAATAACATACGTCGAACTTTATTCGTTTCATTGTAATTATTTTCGGATGCCAATTACTTGTCGCAAACATCTGGGACACCCAATTCTACAATTTTTTTGAAACCACTGGTCACTGTAATTCCATTGAGAGAGCTCTGATATCATATTGCAATTATGATAATATTTGTTATTCTGCTAAAATCTAATTACAATGACAGTGGTCCCAGTGTCAGTAGTAAGGCAGATTCATTCGTTCATCATTCACTAACGAATAATGTTGCCTTAGTAAAGTACCGCGGAAATATAAATATCAATATCAAGTTATATCTCATTTGAACAGCAATTTAGTCTATAAATCAAATGTATTTTGTATATTATAATTAGTAGAAAAAAATTGCAATGACAGTTGAATAGTAGCTCGTAGACTAGCCACTCACAAGCCACTCCTCTTAATTTTTAACAAACCTCCAAACGTACAAAATCCTACCATTGGCACTCTATGGATATGCAACCGAGATGATTTAAAATTAGCAAACCAAAGGCGTGACCAACACTCAGAGAGTAATAGTATTCTAAAATAAACCAATATAGGCTCACCTTGAATGATTCAGGTATTTCTTCAATAGCCCTATGTATAAGTGTTCCGTTAACATAGAGACAATTAGCAGCTTCATCTTCAGGGACAGTCAGAGTCTGATATGAGAATGTGGCTTCTCTTTCCATCCTTTTAAGCAGTTCTTTAGCATCTTTACTTGCTCCGACGCAAAGTATATCAGGGCCCGCAACAGTGATGTATTTTTTCAAATGTTTCATTCCTTTCGCCACCTTAATAAATAAATACATAATATATTATATTTTTTATTGTCCATTTTGCAGGAAATTTAAGTAAGACATTGGTGTTGTTAAACATATGTTGGAAAAAAGCACGATATTTATTTACCAATATCATTTTCTAATTGGCTCTAACATATAAACATGAAAAACTTTATTTCTCTGCAAAATCTTTGCTTTTGTGGTCAGGTCAAAGAAAAGTTGAAATTTGCTTAATTTGAAATTAAAGACGAAAAAATTGGGACAGCAGAAATTGGTCAAATTTCATATAATATTTTTTCATAAAAATTATTTTATGGGCAAATCATGCTTGACCAAAAAATTTTCTAATCAAAATTGTTTTCACAAAACAGACTTAATAGTTCCTAAGACAGTTTCTTGTATGTTTTATGGTTTCGGATTTAAAACACTGTATAGTATGTTTCAACCAAAACTATACAAATTGATGACAAAGAACTTAGAAATGTGTAGATTTGCGAGATTATGGAAATACTCAAATTTAGAAACAGACAGCTATGTAAATACCACCGTGACGGTCACAAGAGCTAAGTTTCAGGGGTATAGCTACTCTTCTTTACATATTTAAATTCGAAAATTTGTTACATAGTGTAATACACTATTCTTATATATTATCACAAGTAACTTTCAATGCTATCTAGCTGACTTCCTACTAACTAGCTATCAATACAATAATGACAAAATTTATTGGTACCTTGATGGGTGTGCATGGGAATTCTGGAAATGCTTCGGCCACTGCACTAGCTCCAGCTTCATTACTAGTCTCTGATATACCTACGAAGAACTCGCGTCCTGAAAGGTGTTTCAACAAATTACGTAATATACTATAATAATAATCATGTGCCAGACAACCGCATCAATTTTCTGATCTCAAACTGGGGAATTCCCTGGTACTATGAGTACCAGGACAACGGAATTCACTCGGCACTTCCCAGAACACCCAGACCAGAACCAATTTAGGAAAATTCATTTCCAAATTGGTCCTACCGGGAATCGCACCCGTAGCCGTCTCATCCAAAGCCTATAAAGCAGACCGTTGGGTCACCGCGGTCGTCAAAAACTGTAAAATATACAATTGATGCTTGTAGAGGTTTATTAGTCCTAGCTCATGGGCCAATAAGTTGCTGAGAAGTAATGCTAACACTCTATCGACCTAATGCTTGTGTTGTCAGTAATGGCCAGCGTAAAACGGCGGACGGCAAGGTTGAGGTGATTAAATTTATCAATATATATTTTGTACTATAAAATTGAAATAAGGTATAAATTTCAATGCTCCGCGACGCAGAGAGAAATGCGCCGCGATGCTCCGAGGTCGGTCTTAGACCAATGCAATTATTACCTTATTTCAATTTATGCTCTAAAATATACATAGATAAATAAAATGTCTTCTGCCTTCCCGTCCGTCTGTCAGCGCTAGCCCATAATTATCAAATATTTTAAATTTAGCAATAATGCAAATGTCGCAACCGAAATTTTTAATTGTTGTAATTTACATTGCGCATAGACGTTCTTGGCTAGTACGGTACCCTCCTTGTCATAAACAACGCATTTGCATTTTGGAGCCTTCGAGATATTGGCACTTAAAGTTTTTTTCTTTAAAAAATGTCTGTACGCTGAATTTGCTTAACAATAAAACAAACTAAATAAGATATAAAAAAAACAGCTTATAGAGGATTGTAGATCTCGTTTCGCCCATTCCAAGTATGTTAATAACTCAATTTCGCTAAAAATGTCGATTATGGTTTTATGATAAAGCACCCTGATAACGACACCGTCACTAAAAGAAACTCTCGCTTATTCAAATTTAGACTCAATTTCAGAAACTTTAATAACCTTTCTCATAAGTTGACTTTTTCGTTTAGTGATTATCGATTTCAACGTGCGATAAGGACGACAGAGAAGGTCTCCATGTATTTATTCACTGGGATAAAACAAAAAGAAAATTAAGTTTACTGATAATCAGTGATGGGAATTGAAGGAGTCAATTTACCTAAAGTATGATCGTTTTCTTAGTATGGATATACCCATATCGTCATCAATACATATAACATTTCTTTTTTTAATGTTTATTTTCTACACATTCCAAAATATGTATTGTTTCATGTAGTATTTATAAATACGTAAGTATTTTTGAGCTTTGAGACAATAATAACAAATACTTAATAGGAAATAATAATTACTTGCTAATGTGCTCAAATTTCAATAAATGATATGCATATTCAAATATAATCAGTTCTGAGAAGTCCTGGGATTTGTAGAAGGGAATGTCCAGGTTATTCTTTAGTTTAACTAAATTAACTCCCTCAATTGCGATCATTAGTGGTTATAGTTAATCACCACGTCGTCTATTACAGACTGTGTTGGTAAAAAGGTTTCATGTATTAAATCTTCACATATTACGCAACCAATAAAAAGTTCCATGACACTGCTTAACAAACTTGACTCTAGATTATGGGTTCGATAATTCTTGTATACTTAAGGTTTTAAAAAGTTTTATAATAAATCGATGAACAGACATGAGTAACCCAACCTTGGTTTGAGCAAATTCACTTGAGGAACTTACCAGTAAAAAACACATCTGATCCTACAATCTTGGCATCAGGGTCTGTCACATCAATTATTGTTTGACCAAGGCTCTTTAGCACCTCCCTAATTTTCTTCAACTGTAACAATTACAAATGTGTTTTCTTGTTTATTTCTTCTGTATGTATAAGAGAAACAGAATAACTACTACTAGCAGTTTATAAAAGTACCACTTTTCAGAGTTCTCAAGTTTTCGCGATTGTTACTTACATATTGGAAGTGAGTTTCCTTTTTCGCATCTAAATATACGCAATGTTCAATTTTGCAAACAATTATGTCATATTGCTTTTCAATTAATATTATGATTGTATGGTGTTCCCTACACTTATTAACTGTTAAGACCGTTTATTAGTTCTGATTTAGTACTAATAGTGATACATTCGGTAGGCGTGACATGAGTGCGCTGCGCGATTGCTGATCATGAACTATAAAATTAAAAAATGTCGCATGAACACGTAAAATGCTGCATAAAGACAATGTGCGGTATTGCAATGACAACAGACACAGGTCCTAGTTCTGTTAGATTGAAGAAATTTTTCGTTGTGTTCAATATTTGTTTTTAATAATTATAACAAATAAAGTTTCATTTCCATTCATTTCCAATATCACACTACATTTACAAAAGCAAAAATTCTCATATCATAGCTTTCGCATTTGCACAAAGTTATACAGAATGAAAAAATATTGCAGCATTCAACAGAATTTCAAATTTCGCATAGCTATATCTACAATAAAAACTCATTGACAGGCTCCACAGAAAGATATTCCTTTTTCTATTGCTATCGAATGTCATGTGTCTGCAATCCAGAGCTTTAAATTGCAAAGATCTAAGGATCACTGCTACTATGCCCGTTATCCTGAGATATTTTTATTGGGACACAGTAATGCTCACATTACTGCTTGACGGCAGTAATATTTAATAATTCTAATTAATTGTACTTAGTATGTGTAGAAATGTTATTGAAAGTAAAAACTGCGTGCCCGTTAGCTCTGCAAAAGATGGCCTTAAGTCTCTCTTTAGAGGAAACTCGCAGCAGGATGAATACTTCTGAAACTTTCACAAGCCCACACTTGAGCACAACAAGTCACAAAAATGTTATCGCTACCAGATAACTAATAACAGAATGCACAAAGGACAAACATTCATTCTCATATATAAACATAGATGTAAAACTCATCAGTATATCTGCTAGACTGCCACGCAGAGGTCTCAGGTTCGATTTCCAGGTCGAGAGAAATATTTATATGGCCTACATTTATTTCTCTCATCAGTTTGAGAATAATTTGTGGTTGTCTAAGTGCGTGTCCATGGGAAACGCAACACAGGGTTTCGCTAGTGCGGGGCTATGTTGAGTGTGTGCATTATTATTTAGATTGACGGCATAGAGTTGGATTTAAATCTTAAGTGTCAAGCTTGATATGCTCTTGACCCTGTACCATTGAATCTGTCTTATAAATATTCTCATGGCAATACAGAGGCATGGGTTAATTCTGTTGCATAACATGCTAAAAACCATCCAACTACCCCCTTAAACAAGTAATAATTCAAGAAGATACTCTATAAAATAAAGTACACAAATAATAACCTAAGATATTCGCTTGTTTGTAGTTTAATTAATAAGAAAAAATATGAAACATATGTAGTAAAAAAAGGTAGCATTATAAATTGACAGGGTAAATAAGCACTTTATTCCATATTGTAACACAAATACAAAAGTAAAAATATAAAATTTTCATCTTAACAGTGAAAGGGCACTGGCCCAGCATACACCACAGTTCCTTAAGGAGCTTATTTTTTGTCAGGAACAAAGAAAAGTAACCTCTCTGTAAAGTTTAAGCAATAAAGGCTATTATGATTATAATCAAATGACCACAGTAAACCTATACTTCACCTCCCACAGAGCACATAATGTAATATCTAATAATGGCTCAATAACACCTACTGAACTTTTAATTAACAGGTCATGACTAGGTGTCAATTAGCACCACAGCCAATTAGGTCACAGTTTAATTAACCATGATAGGCACCTATTTGGGAAATTAACTTTTAATGTATTGTAGTTGAGTAACAAGACATGTAAAGTTTTAAAATATTCTACATATCATATATACATCAGATTTATGTTTGCCCTTATAGCAACATATAGTGATAACTGTCTGTCAGATGATGATAAATTTAGACAATTCAACGTTCCCATTCATATAGTTTGTTGTAAAAATTATTTAAATGCTAAATAATGGCCATTTCAAGAGATTACAAAAGTTAGGTTAAATCTCCATTCATTATTGAAAAAAAATATAATCAGATCCGAGTTGCATCTATAAGTTTTTAGATTTATAACTAGTATTGCAAGGGGCAGCTGATTAAAAAGTATTGAGAAAACGAAAATACTTAATATATCATCAATTCGAAACTGCATTGATTTGCACTGAGCTTTGACGAAAGTTTGCCAGAGGGAGTCGTGCTGGACAGCAATCCAATATTATTATATTGTAAAAAATTAAAAATTAAAGAATTATATATGAGCAAAGAGGACAAACATTGATGTTTGTCCTCTTTGCTCATCAAGTTTTGTACATCCATCGTTCATCATAGCGTGTCGGTACTTTGATGACTGAATAAGATAATAATTATTTACAATTTCTGTAAAACTATTACACAATATAATATTCACACATTGTAAAGACAAATGTGACATGATACTACTTAAGTCTGATTACATTTATTATTAACATAATTAACTCAAAAAGTTCTTTAACTCACAAGAATATCAATTAAAATATTGGTCAAGTCAGAAACATGTGGTTCAGTAACTAAGAGTGACAACATGAGTGCTTGTTTGAAGTACTTACTTTGTACTCGTCCCCACTAGCCACAGGTTTTGGTAGGAGCGCTATGCCGTGACAGATGATCGCTATATCTTCAAGAACAACGTTGCCGGGAAAGGTGCCACCCAAGTCCAACTCCACCACGTCTACATTTAACTCCCTGAGAAGTCTCAAGTAACAATCGTGTTGGCGTCGTGCGTCGTTGAAATCTGCCTTGTCAGTAATTCGCAAAGGTGGTGTCACTTTGCCAACCACAGCATGAGTATATTCATGCATTTTGAAATCCATTTTTACAAAGACTCCACTACGTATATACGGCGGCGGCGGCGGCGGGCAGCGGCGTTGCGACAAATTGTCTATAAATAGACGAGCGCATTAGAATAACACAGAAAGCTAGTCATTAACATTACTTTTACACATTAAAACATTATTGCATTGATTACTCACCTATTGTGGACAGAAAATAAATTGAAGAAAGTTTAAAATACAGGATCGACCAAATCCTACAACTCTATTCACGACTTACGGCGGAGCTGTGATCTGTCAATTGCTGTCAGCTAGTCAAATTAGGGATGCCATCACGATTTGATTTTTATGAAGATCTATTGAAGTGTACACGATCTAACGATTTTTTGTATCGATTCATTTCAATACGATTTTTAAGTAAATCGATTCAACATTAAGGCTAATCGAATCGTCTAGATCGTATTCATAACTTAAACAAAACAGTCTCTGAATCCCTATTTTCTATTATTTATTTATTTCTATTAGCCTGCGTGAAAAGCAGTTTGGCAACATCTACACTTACACTTGACACTTAACACTAAAAATCCAACTCTATGCCGCTTACGCTCTTTCCGTTCGTTACGTTCTTATCTGTACTACAATATTTGGTAATTGTCGATACTTCTGTGGACGTCTTTTGTCAATTGTCTTGTCTGGCTAGTATCACTCTACATGAAAGTCATAACCGACTGACGCCAAATGCCTGTAAAAATTATATATTTTTTTCGGAATATTGATACAATTTTTGTGAGATCGATTACATAGGCGAGAGCACGTACTGCTTCTCTGTAAGGAAACTTCTCTTCCTATGTAGAGGTATCAACTTTCCCTGTTTGAACACTTTCTTTCTCAATCGGTGTTAAAATAGGGTTGCATTCAGTCAACCCAAAACGTTGTAAAATCTTTTTGACGTACGATTCTTGCTTAATCGTTATGGATCCATTTTTAGTTCTCTCAATTTCAAAGCCTAAGTAATACGATGCAGGTTTTGTAGTAATCTTGAGTCTGTTTCTAAGATCATTCAAAAAACTGTTCGCTAGTTCTGCATCCGTAGCGGCTATTAAACTACCTATCGTCAACATACAATGTTATCAATACTTTTTTTTTACCAACGTTTTTGTCGAATAAGCAATAATCAACTTCGCTCTGTTCGAAACCCATATTAAGAGAATTTGCGCAAAACACGAATTCCAGCATCTAGGTGCTTGCTTGAGCCCATACAAGCTGCGCTTGAGGCGACATCCTTTCGTCGACCCATCACTAAAACCATCTGGCTGCTACGTATAAATTTCTTTTCTAAGTTCACCATTCAAAAAGGCTGTAGAAACATCAAATTGTACCAAATGAAGTTTCTCTTGTGCGCTTACACTTAACAGCGCTCTTATCGTTGCTAGTCTTGCAACTGGGGACCCTTTATTTGTTTAAATCCCTTCACTATTAGACGCGCTTTATATTTATCACTAGTCCCATCTGAATTTCTTTTAATTCTAAAAATCCATTTGCATGGTAGCGCTTTCCTGTTTTGTGGTAGCTGACACAGAGTCCATACACTGTTCTCTTCCAGCGATCTCATCTCACTCCGCATAGCTTTGAACCATTCATCTTTATCTTCTCTCTCCATAGCTTCTCTATATGTCTCTGGAAAATTTTCGGAGTTTAAAAAACATACGAAGTCTTCAAAGCGTTCCAATGGTTTGAGCGTATCTCTATTTCTCCAATTGTATCCGAATCTAGCTTCAGATTCGATTACTTCATATTCTTGGGCATCCAAGAATTGCTCTGCTTTATCGTCATAAACATGATCTGATGTTACAGCAGATTCATCCATGGGCACTGTTGTATACAGAAGCTCTATCTCTCTTACCAAATTTCAGCTGTTGTGCTTTTCCAAAAAAAATGCAGCCCTCGCACTGTATATCATCCGATTTTAGGTCGATCCTTAGTTCCCTGTTTACAACATCCTTAAAATACCTTGTTCTGGTGACCGAACCTGTCGTGATATAGCTGGAGCATGCTAGATGAAAAAACAGCGTTTACTTAAATACGATGTTTTGGTGGGACCGTCTTCAATTGCAACATAAACAATCCTACCATTGTGGTTTCTGTTTCCTACCACAAAAAGACTTCACCATTTAGAACCATTCTTTTCTTTCATTCTTTAGTGGTCGATATAAATGTGCTGTTATATAATTTGTTTTCTGCTGCTAAAAATGAAAATAGATTTTTGGCCAATATCGGCACATACCACACGTTGCTAAATGTGAGTTTTGTCTTTTTTCCGTAGGCATTTGACTCGACCTCCACCAACCCCACCTTTTCCATTCCCATCTGCCGTCGTCACAGATTGAGTCGAATCAAACTCCTCAAAATCAACGAAAACCTCGCCTTTATTGGTAACATGTGTTGTTGCTCTATTGTCGACTTACCGTTCTCAGAATCACTTTCTTCAGAGCAAGTGTAAATCATCAGCGTAATATTTTGAACTTGCTGTCTGAAGGAGGCCTCTGTAGCCTTTTCGGTCTGTCATCGTTAACCCACTTTATGCAGTTTATGATCCGGTGGCCTTTCTCCGAACAATACTGCCCTCGAAACGAAAAAGACACAACTGCTATGTACGCATACTTGTGCCTTTTTCATTACGAGGGCAAAATGCCTACATCTCAAATTGTCGTCCCTTTTCAGTTCAGTCTGCACCTTTGAAGTTGAGAGGAGCACTTCTTGGGTTTCCTTCTTTTGGCCTCCTAGCGCTCTCTTATACCCACATAGTCTGTCATTAGTGACTCTATTGTCCTTTCTTTTTTACTCAACGACATCCAACACGATTTGAAATTGAATCTAAAATTTTACATATCAAAAAGAGTTCTGGTAGCTTCATATTAGGATCAACCTTGAGAACTTCTGCATTTAAATTATTCCAAATGTTTTTTAGGTTCGACACCACTGTTGATACATCATCATTGGAACTACTTTTAAAACTAAAGAATTGCGTGCACAAACTGTATGCCCTGTCCTCTGTCTGTCCATCATAAAGTCGATGAAGCTCCTGCCAGACTTTGTTAGCTGTCTCGTAACGCATAACTTTCATTAAAGTTTCATCTGTCACGTTGCTTGTAAGGATGAGCAGGGCATTGCTTTCTGCCTTCCTATATTTCAGAAGCTCTGTATTATAGGTCCTCAGTGACCCGTCACCTATGCCCAGTGTGGGAATGGAAAGTTTTCCTTCAACTGCCTCCATGGCACCTTCTTTGCGTCGCAGCATAGCAGTGACTTTGTGACGATGTGATCTCTTTACATCGTCATCCCATCTTTTTATCGCCTTTCTCCGGTTCCTGGCCACTCGTATTTAAATTTAAATTTTGTTTTTCCATAATTCTTTTGCCTCGCATTCTGATTTTGTTTCGTTCCACCGTCACTCCCTGCTCGATCGCGACAGCGTACGGAGCTGGTTAAAATTCAATCGCGTCTAATTTTGATTCCTTTACTAATTTTATAATCACTTGTAATCAAAATGATGTGCCAATTTTAATAAGTTCATGTACTTATGAAAACGTATCTGTAATTCAGTATAACTCGGCCCTTTTAGGGGTAAGTGTGTACTTAATATCTTACTCATCAAGTTAGGAAGTGTAGTGTTTTATAATAATGTACGTGTTTTCTATATATACCTTTAATGGTTACAGCCTTACTTCTTGTTACCTTTTCTTTTCTTTAACCGACTTTAAATAAATTTGTGGACCTGAAGTTTTCTGTTTTACTGCCGTGAACCTGGCCACGGCTTGTTATAGTTACAACCCATTCAACCTTATTCTTCCATGTTGCCCAATTCCTACTGCCTTCAAATTGACCAATATTAATTTTTGAAGTAAACTGATCCATCCTGACGTCGGTTCAAGCTCGAGCTGGTGTACAATAACCTGTAGCAGTACGTGGTTTCACAAAGAATTTATGGAAGTACGAGCAGAAGACGAACAGATACTCTAGTTTACAAAATGTTTGATGAAACTATGCAATGTAAAGTAAATAAAATAAACTTTCAGTTTCTTTTAACAACTCACTGACACATCTGTTATTTTGTAGCCCATGGTAACAAAACTCTTCTTTCAATTTGTAACAAGAAGTCTCTACCATTATACGATCCAATCTGTGGATCGATTCCGAGCCATATAATATGATCCATTACGATCCAAAAAATCTATTCTCAGAAAATCGTTCATCCCCTCTAGTAAAATGTCACTTTTAATTGGCAAAACATTCATAGTGACTACGTAAAAACAACTTTATCAATAATGATGAATGGTCCTGTTATACGATTTTTCAGCAACTATTATTGTCAAAAAACCTGTTATAGCACAATAAATTATTTTCTGACAACAGTTTACAATAGATTAGATAATATTAAAGAAAGAAATAATAAAAAATAAAGAAATAATATTAGAGAGAAATGGCTTTAATTAAATGATTGGACGATGCTACGATTTGCAAATCTTACAATTATAATCTTCTAGTGCACAACACAAAGTTCTATTTCTCGTTTCATATTTTATTGTCATCTATTATTTAATAGTTATAAGTTACATATTTAAAACTACGATTTTGTGCTTTATGAAATCGCCAGGCAGAAAATATCAATCAATTTATTAAATATAACGGTCCCCAAAGCAACTATTTTGTTTTTGTTTATTGGTTGAAAGTTTTAAGGTTTATATTTACAAAGTATTTTTAGCCTAGGGGGTAGCTCAGGTTGCGTAGCGAGAGGTACTTTATAAATATAAACTGGGATTAACTTCAAAATTAGATGTTTATTGTATTTTTCACTTATTTACTTCTTGAGGCTACTTTTAGACCTGTCAAGATGTTCTTTTCTCTATCCTATTTTTTAAACACATTCTAAATACAAAACTATACTCACTCAGCCAGTAGTTCTACTCATAGAGTTAGAGCTTAGACTACATCCCTCTTCCACACAACTGAAGGGGTGAACATCCCTAGCTGGTGCACTACCTATGATAGGCAACTTACATAAGTGATCAGCCTTTACTATAGGCTAGCCACACACAACCAAGCTACTACCTTACCAACAAGTAAACCACCGAGGAGGCTATGGCTTTAGTCTGCCAAAAACAAAAAGGTTTTTGGCAGATTAAAGCCATAGCCTCCTCAGTGGTTTACTTGTTGCTAAGGTAGTGGCTTCCGAGCTTCGACAAATATTCGATACTCACAATTATATATTTATTACCTTTATCCGAACGA